TATCGCCTTGAGAACTATGTTTGAGCTCTCTCTCACTCTGCGTAAACAGGATGCCACTTTTTTTCGCATCAGAGCGTAAAAATCATCTACACTTGCGTCGGCAAACATACCTGACGTTTTAAACAACGCACACACTCATAGCACCGCACTAGGGAAACCCTGTGTCACAGGTACCATAGACACAGGTATAAATAACTACAAATTACACCCAAACTTACAAGACAAATAAATGAAGGGGTTACAAATATTTCTCACGGTCCAGGAATCAAACCTGGGACCTCTGAATGGCAGACCAGTATGATAACCAATTACCAAAGACATGTATTCTAAATTGAAAAAGCAATTAATTTCAAATTGAGTGAGGTAGTGACTAAGTTTTCAAATTTAATAATGTATACTATTATGGATTAACAAATAATAAGTTGAAATCGTTATAATACATAGTACAATATACGAAGAACAGAATCAGAATCAAGGTCCCCATTATCAATACACCATCAATAAATTTCAATTAATTTTTTTTAAATTTATGCTAGCTATGAGTTCACAATTAAGAATACAAAACAGCCAAATTACATAGCCTAAAAATTAGACGTAATGTTTACTTTTTCTAATTCCAATAAACGCGATAAGGCTTATCATTGTAAACACCCTATCTCTTACTCGGCAAGGAAAAGTAACCTCAAAATGTTGATAATCGATTTTTTATTTTTAAATGAAACTTGAAAAGTACAGTTTTTCTTACCATGAGGAACGGTGTGGAGGTCGTATTGCTGCATTCTATACACGGAAAACTCGTGAGAAGCGGCTACAGGATTCACAGGAGACATTATGATAAAAATAGGTAGAGCCACGAGTAAGTAATAAGGCAGATAGCCTTTAAATATCTCAGCAAAGCCGTCCGCCTCGTCTAACCACATGTTGCCGGATAATTAGTGCAATTCGTTAATGAAATTAACGCAGGAAACTATTTTTATTAACACAATCCCATTAGAAACCCCACAATACGTGTATGTATATCGGTCAATGACATTTACGAATACGGTAACGTCGTGTTGCCAATTAACAGCTTCGGCAAACTGCGAATAAATTTCATTTTCCCTTTTGGTTAATAACTTTTTTAAATGAGTCAATAAAAATAAGCCCTATTTAAATTACCTACATACATCTATCTTAAACAACAAAGTTAAATGCAACATACTAATACTTTTCATTTATTTTATGGACTGTCTGCTTGGCTAACTGTTTGACTGTGAAACAGTTTTAACTTGTTTCAACAAACAAAATATGTTAAATACATTTTACATACAAAGCACAACTCGGAGTGATCAAAAACTCTTCATGATCGCGAAGTTCTTTTTGTTGTCATTATACATATAATTAAATGTTCACATGAAATCTCTCTCCTCTCAACGCAAGCGTTGTCAGTAGCGCAGGCTTGGTCAGTAGCTGGACAAATTTTAAAACAAGGTATGGAGCCTGATCGTGATCAGAGTGATCACAAATAATGATAGCGAAGTTTTTTTTTGTTATCACATTTAGTTGTGTCTATGAACATAGTTTCTAGCTCCAATCGCAAGTGTTATCGGTAGATAACGCAAGCTTGATTACATGTCTTTGCGGAAAGAAAGGAATTTTGAGCAAACGGTTTAGCGACAGTAGACACAGACACTGCTGACATTATTTAAATTAGTCGCTTGTTACCTTGGAGAGCAGAAGGGAGATATATTCGAGGATTTTGATAATTAAAACACACACAAAAGTTAAATAAAAATAATTTATTGCTTCCTTTAGTATGTCCAATTAATCTTAAAACAATATTATTGGATTTTTCTAAATCTCTACAAAACACTGGTTATTCACCGCATTTTTGCACCCGTGCGGTTTATAGCTAATGTTTCATATAAAAACTAATATTAATTTTAAATGTAAGAAAATACTGAAATTAATAAGTACAATGGAAGAATTTTTTGTCACTTTGGAAGACATAACGAAAAATTGTTTCCTCACCGCGTTGCACCCTGCGATTCGGACCAACTTTTCATTTTTATTTCTCTCAACGTAGGTACGATACTAAAAGCACCGTAATATGACTTAAAGCAGGTATACATAACTACACAAAATCCCGTTTAAACTAACTAAAGGAAGTCGATAGTTCGCTTGTCGTTTCGGTAAACTTAATTATCAACATAACTCTAATGCTCGATTATTTCATTATTTTTCTCACACGCATAATCAACCATTTTATCATTAATAATTATATATTTATGCCATAGAAGAAAGGCAATAAAATTATTATGGCGAGTCACAACACATAAAATGTTAAAAATCACACATTTTGGCGAATACATTACAAAGATAACATTGGAACAGTCAAACTATTTAAAAGTAAAAACGCTTTAATAAATAAATGGGTAACTAACTAAAATCATTTGTTGAAAATTTTAAATGTTGCTTGTGAGGCCGGTATAAAGCCAACTCCTCGTGAATAGCTTTTTTAGCAAACGAGAACATTGTCCCAAATATTTTTTATACCATTTCCATGAACGTCTCACAAATAAAATACTACTGACTAGTCAAAATTAATACTAATGAAATCAAAACTTTGGTCGTTGTGCCATTTTTTTACGATTTAAGGGTTTTTACTATTTTTTTTATTTTTTTTCGTCATTTTTTATTCGATCCTTACTACGAAGCAGTCGCAGTTAATATTGTCGGTGTCAGTTGATCACGTAGCAAAGGTGTAGTAGCCTGTAAAATAAAATAGAGAAATTAAAGTACGATAGTGTATTTATAGAGTCTTTGACATATAATAATGGGAGCCAGATATTATATATGTGTCTGTGGGGAGTTGTATCTGTATACTCTGGAATTCATCTTGAAAATAGCTAAAAAACATAAAATCTTTCTCAAGTTGAAATGTAATTATTATTGATGCAAAAATTGAACAAATACAAAAATAAAATCTTTATGATATTCAATAAAAATATTGAAATTAGGATTTTAAAGACTTCTAAATTATGTTTCACAAAAGTCAAATAGAACGTGGTACTGAGATACATTACGTCGGGGATAGTGCAAATCTGCGAATGTAGTATTGGTAAAAGGCGCGTATCTTTACCAAACCAAATTTCACAGAAGAGAGATTTAACGTTATTACTTTGTTATTTCAATGTAGCCATTTTTCATTTTTGCACAGTAAGCATTAATTTATGTTGTCTACGGACTGATAACAATAGATTCCTGTAAATCACGCTAATTTGGTTATCACTTTAGATTAGATTTGAGACATTAGATTTGGCGACTAAATGGAGACTCGTAATCAATCAATGCTAGTTACGCGTAATTGCACTAACCCCGGTGATTACGTCTTCTTCCCTAGTTTTCAATTCCCGTGGAGTTGCCATCAGCAAACTTACATAGTTCTAATTAAGCTTTTTGGTGTCTTTAGTTTCCTCTTTAGGCTGTCCCTTGCCGAGCATCTTGGCGAGCGAGTCCCAAATGCCACCCAGGAACAGCGCACAGAACAGGTTTTCGAACGGCACGAAAGGATCGTGAATGCCCAGAAGTATCGATGATAACTAAAACAAAATTAGAAGTTTACATTTAACTCTAGTAATCAAGGATAGAATTTTTATAAAGAGGCTGTATGGTGAAACGTTTGCTATACAAAATAGGTGAAAATAAAAAAAAACTTTAGTAACTATAGTTTTTTTTTAATAACGGAAACATGGAAACAAAGGACGCCACTGGGGGCTACTGACGGATGTTGATTCAAAAGCACTCCTAGATCACGCGTGCCAGTGTAACAGTGCGACATACACAGGTCAATGTGGTTAGATAGCTGGCAAACAAATAAAACTATAAGTTTTATACCATTGAGCACTTATAACTAATCATCTCAATACCTACAGAGTACTAAATAACCGACCTCAAAAGTTCTTAGAATTACGTCCACTTGCCAGGTTTTATTGAAATCGGTTACCTGAAAGTGAGCGGAACCGGATTCATCCCCTACTTTGCCACCATTAGAGGTGGAATATTTTCTTCAAATTTATATGGGATCAATAATGAGGTACTCTGTCCAGCAAAACAATAATCATCAAAATCGGTTCACAAATTAGTTATCGCGTAATATACATACAAAAAATATATAGAGACGAATTGAGAACCTTTTTTGAAGTCGGTTAAAAACTACAATGACGATAATTCTTTCTAATTCAAAAACACACAAAACAGCAAAAAGCTGATAAAATCCTATTGACTATTACACCACATTCCAATAAGAAATTTAAAAAAAATACAATTTTACCATTGTAAGTCAATGAATTTTACACACTGATAAAATTATACGTTGTTGAAGACCTTTAATAACTAGTTTCACGCGAGAAAAAATAGCGATATTTTTGATGTCCTTATCGGCTAGCGAGATCATATTATGCTGTTCCTTATTGTTTTCATTATTGTCGCTAAGGTTTTCTTAATAACAGATCAAACTCTACATTATAAAGAAAACGTATTAATATTTCCAATATTATTTTTACTGTTTGAACATTGACCTACCAATAGGTCAATTTGTTTGAATATTAATTTCATAAAATAGTAACACTAAGGGTATCGAACGTAACCCCTCAATTTTTTTTATATTAGAGAGTTGCTTGTCGGACGAGCCGTGGGCGAAAGGCACTACAGAATGGATCCCTAAAGACAGAAAACGACTATGCGGTAGACCAAAGCGTCAATGGAGAGACGAGCTAGACGCGCACTTAAAAGATTGGATCTCAGTGGCGCAGAACAGAGAGGTGTGGAGAGAGGGGAGGGAGGTTTTTGCCCAGTAATGGGACAGTACCTATACATTTAAAAAAAGGGAGTTACTCTTGTTAATTTACGACCCTGCATTTACTTTCTACGTTATTTGGCTTACATAACTTTTATTCGGTCTTCCCTTCCTAACTTTCCAGCGATAGATATTGAGCAAGCCGATTAAAACTGACCTTAAAGTAGACGAAGAAAATTACAATTCCGAAGTAGACGAGCGCGTGCGGCGCAGAGATGATATCAGTCTTCTTGTCCAGAACGAAGATAATGGACGCTACCAGAGACGCCTTAGTGTAGCTGTTGAATTAAAAATATATATTATTAAGGCTGTTACCAAAGATGATCAGTACGATAGGGCACGACTAGCGCGAGAGCGACCTAAAGCGCGACATCTCTATATATGTGAGAATAGCAGTGTTTCGCAATTTATGTCGCTTTCGCGCTAGTCGCGTCCTATCGTGACAGTAAAACTTCAGATAAAACCTCATAAGCTTAAAAATATCGGAGAATGATTTCAGATTTTATTTGTTTTTAAATCAAGCGACGGGACGAACAAGTCATGCGTCTGGTGGTAAGCTACAGGCCTGTCCATAACAGTTGCAGTGTTATTCAAAGCTTTAATTCGCAAAGATCTGAGGAGCACTGCCACTGCGCTGTCACCCTGAGCCATAAGTAGACAAGTCGCATGTGCCTGTAATTTCACCAGCACCCTTACCCTTCAAATCCGGAACGCAGTAATGTGAGCATTACTTTATGAATTAGCTAAGGTGGCAATAAGTACCTACTTCCGTGGCTCTACAGCTAATAGGTACTCCAGTATTCTAGGTTGGATCTTAACAGTCGGATTGACCTATGTTTAAACTTGCGTGTAGATACCCCGAGCACCCAAAACCTTTTACAGCAGCAACGGACAATAGAAGAATGGCAATATTAGAATGGCTGGTTAGAGGTGACTGCAGAAAAGTGTGATTTAATGGATATTTTTGATGCTAGACGTCGTATGGTTGACGAATAATATAATAATAATAATAATAATAATAATAATAATAACGCACACACTCAACATAGCCCCGCACTAGGGAAACCCTGTGTCGTGGTTGCCATGAAGACACAAATAGACAACCACAAATTACACCCAAACTCACAAGAGGAATAAATGTAGGCCATACACATATTTCTCCCGGCCTGGGAATCGAACTTCTGTACGGCAGTCCGGCATGGTAACCGTTCGGCCACAGAGGCAGTTTAATATGTAAGTAAAATAAATCTTCTCAATCAAGAATTCAAAACGTTAAGTACTTACAAGCTTGGCTGCATAGTTTCCATGGCTGTAGGAGTCCATGCACCACGAATGAGGCGTTCCACCAATCTCGTAAAGCCAGCCCCATTACCCTTTAGTGTACCTGAAAAGTAATGCAATTTCGAAAATTCAATTATAAATACCTAAGGTCCCAATATTGATTCTTGCGGAACTCTAGTTCAGAAAGTCCAGGGTATTTCATAATACCCTGGACTTTTCTAATTTTTAAAAGCAGGAAACAAAATCCTGTCTAAAGTTACTTACCAATAATAATCATTATAACGTATGCATTAGGATATAGTTTTCCAGCGTGGCTGACACCATCGTAGACCTTCTTGGCACGGTAGATTTCTTTCATAGCTGACGCTACTACCTTTACTGGTAGGAATTTTGCTACTTTATACCCGACGTCAAATGGCGTGTAGAAGACGATATACCTAGAAAGATAGACGAAGATTTCTTGGTACAGACAAGAAGAGATATATTATAAATAGTACAGGACTCTAGAACTTTCAACGACCATCAAGACTATCTTAATATTTCTTTCTTTATAAAAAACATTAAGGAAATGATGTTAATGCAACAAATAAACGGCTATGATTTCCGCCTCATTTAATGTAATTGTTGTATCATTTATTAATTACTCAGATATCATTATGAATATTCTTTTTAACCGAGTTCAAAAAGGGAGGGGATTCTCTATTTGGCTCAATTTTTTTTTGTATATGTTACGCAATTACTCCCACATTTGAGAACCTATTTCGATGATTCTTTTTTATTAGAAGGGGGGTACCTTAGAAGTTGTCCCATTCAAATTTGAAGAAAATATTCCACCTCTAAGGGTGGCAAACTAGGGGCTAAAGATAAATCCGGTTTATTACATTTCACCACTTAAATATTCGGTTAAAAATAAAATATTTTGCAAATAGCGTAGCGAAAATTTAAGCATTCTTTAGCAAATTAAAAACAAGGTAATTGATGCTTTTACAATCTAAGTCAGCCGAAATCATGGGACCAGGCCCCGACATCCATCCGAAACAATTACTGCCAAATAAGCAAAACTTGACCAAATGAAAAGACGCGTGATGCGAATGAAGCTGCATACTGGATACTTGCCTTTTAACTTTGTCGAATGTTACTTATTTGACAGTAATTGTTTCGGACGGATGTCGGACGGAGATCGAGAGTAGCCCCCCTGGGCCCTGATTTTAATTCAAATCGGAATTAATCCGATCGGGTAGCCCATCCGCAATATTATATACGCCTCGACTCGGAAATAACGCAGTTTCCGATCGAGGGTGGCAATCAAAATCAAGCTGCAGAAGAGTCGGAAACGTTGATTTGTTTGAAAAAACAAATATATGCGAGTTAGATCCGAAAACAATAGTTTCATTTCCAATGTGTAGCACACGCGAAAACCTGAAAATTGTTGCTTTAAAACTTCAAACGTATCAGTAGTAAGTAGGTGATAAATGAAAACAATGTTTTCAGCATGTTTTGACAGCAAACGCATGTGCTTTTCCTCGTAAAGAATACATGCATCTCAAAATAGCCTTTTTGTAAATACTACTGTCAGGAGACGATTGAGATGGCTGAGAGCGTGGCCGAAAATTCGATGTTCGGCCAAATTAGTTAATTCATGACATCTCTATTAACGTAACGAATTGGATTTACGTACTCTACTAAGCTGAGTGTGAAGCTTCATAAGTTTTTTTTTATGATGCCTAGTGACGACGAACAATAGGGCAATAGTATTTATTCGACATGAATTTCACGCGCACACCGCACACCGCGCGAAAACTTTTGTCCTCGTGTAATTGGGTGCTAACAGTTCCAGTGCCAGTCAGAGTTTTAAATCACAAAGATCTGAGGGGCACTGCCACTGCGCCCGTCACCCTGAGACATAAGTAGTAGTAGAGTAGAGTAGTAGTATTTTCACCAGTACCTTTAGGGCGCGTGCCGATTATGTCGTGACGCTAGATAGTCCTGCAGTTTAAAGTGTCGTGAATTGTATCGTGAGTCTATATTTAAATGAAGTTGTTCACACACAGAATAACACGATTAACTGTCTGTCACGACTTTTTTGACGTTATGACGACAGACTGTCTTGACAATGGGCAAAGGTAGAACGACAGCCGTCCGACTACAAATAAAATGTCACGATAAGAATGTGACGACAAATAATCGCAGCTTCATACGACAAAGCGGCTGCTGTGAACCGATAAGTTGTCGTCACTACGTAGTGGGAACAGTCAGAACAGACAGTCGTTCAACGATGAAATGTATGTCCACGCCACAGTGACGACCGATAATCGTGATATGGGAACAGGCTAGACGCGACAGTCGTCCAACTATAAACAAAACGTTACGACACACAACCGGAGGGCAATAATGCTTGCATTGCTGCTTGTCGGCAGAAATAGGTAGGGTGGCAGTACTTACTTAAGTACAGTGACAAATGTTCACGAATTAAACTACACACAGCGCGTTTTATTTTTAACCTCTTTTTGACAGTTATTGATTTGAATGGAACGTTACATTGGTTTGTTATTTGTAACAGGTAGATGGCGTTAATGTTAACTCGTTAGATTGTTTGTACTTCCATGGACGAACTCTTTCGCAAGGAGCTCTACTGTTACTTGTTCCAATGGCAACAGATAAAGTCATGATTAAAATAGAAATATTAACCTACCATGTAACAGTGCCAATAACCAATTGCGGCGTGTTTTTGAGCGGCGCGAGAATCGGCTCGCCGAGCAGTCCGTTGACCACCATACCGCCAGCGAATATCACCAGCATAGTTGACAGCCAACATGATAGAGGGTGCTTCCGTGAGAACGCTTGGGCACCTGAAGAGAAAAAAATCACAATTCTGTGGTTATCTTTAATGGTATTATGAGGTTCCCAAACTTTTATCTAATCTCTCTAAATCTAACACCCGTTCTAATACAGATTTTTTTTATAAATTCACTAACTTCGTCTGTGTGTTACTCAATTCAATAATTTTAACTGAATACTGAGGAAAGAACTTTGTAAAAGAAAACGTATTTTATTCATATAATGTTTATTTCATAGGTAATTTATGTATATTGTAAAAAAGAATTACATTTTTTTTCCATTTCTGGAAAGCATTGATCTATCATGATGGAAAGTCAAAATTTTTCACGACCTACCTAAATGGGTCCAACCTTATGGCCAAGGTCCCCATATATTAACGTTTGTGCCCCCTATTTTTTCTCTGAAATTGACTCCTTTGAGAATTGTCACTCTATCAAATAGCAAATCGACGATGAAAAGTTACAAGCAATCCTGTCTACTAGAAAGATCATTGCAAGAATAATAATAGTACCTACTCCAATTTATTATAAGAAAAACGGTACATAAATTCCTCATTAATTTAATTAGTTCCCGAAACAAGATACTTTTGAAGCCTTACCCAAAAGAATTTTCTCTGCAAGCGGAGATTATAGCTAAGTCCGTTACTGTGTTGAAACTTTTTGTGAAAACCTTTTTGTTTTTTTATTTTATTTTTTAATGTCCAAAGATTACTTCCTCCCGCCCTATTAACCTTAAATCCTTTCTTCACGTGTTTCCTCCTTTTGTTAACATTTTGTGCTATTTTACCGCTCTAATAATATTAGGCTCTAGTTTGTTGTTTGTCCATTATTGTTCTTTTTCACCTCAGGTATACCCTTCACAACAGCGACGAAGAGGTTCTTCAAAAAATACGTTGGCGTTTTTGACCAAAATTGAAACTGTTGATCAACATTATCTGATGGCATTCCTCGAAACTGACGCTGGCCAAGCTTAGTGGCTGCCATTGAGGAATTAATAATAATAACCAACGCATTTGCATTTGGCATTCCGAGGAACTTTTATTTTATTTTAACTTATTGGAAGACCAACGGCTATCTTACAGAGTAAAATTTAAATAAAAAAAATGGAAAAGCCAATTATAGGTCCTCACCGATAGACACACATTAAGTTAATGATAATTAAATTATAACTAACTATATGACTAGTAAGTGTAGTACAATAGGTAATGGCATTTTTGCTACACTTCGTAAATACCTACTCGCCAAAAAAGAAAGTACTATTAAGACGCTTCACCCATACAACACTAATGTTAAAAAGGTGGACAACACATTGAAGCTATTACTCGCATGCAAGAGATGCATTCCGCCGAAAATTCGAAGAGGCCAGAGGTACGCACAAAAGTGAATTAAACCTAAGGGACTTTGTAGGGGCTCTAAGAGAAATCTTGAACACGAGTTCCGGTTCGATTTCCACGGCACCAAAATTAATATTATTATATAAAATGCTAGTAATAAAAATACTAGTATTGGCACATAAAGTGGTATTTAATTTGAAATGTCAATTACGCTGATTTTCCTTAATAATAAAATTGGAACTGAATAAGATACAAAAAACCGCTTAAAAGGGGTTAGATCTCCTTTCGCTGATTCAAAAATGTCGCTTAAGTTACTTAGGTACCTTATGGTGAACAGTATGGGTGGTCGCTACTGATTTCCGTTGCTTGCATGCAAAAAGAAGTCTTAAGGTGGTAACGCATTCACTTTGTTGATTGTACCTGTACATCGTGTTTTTAAATATAGATAATTAATTATTGTCACTTCGTCTTCAATATGGAAAAAGGGCCACTAGAAATTTTGAGAGCTAAATTTACAAATGATGACATTGTCTGCTACGTCTATGTAATATTGATAATAAACACCCAGAATGTAAAAGTAGCCTGCTGAACAAAAAACTAGAGTATTCAATTATTTGATGCCTAAATAATACTTTTGTCTTTTTTTATTATAATATCAAGGGACGGGACGAAAAAGCCGTGTGCCTGATCACTGATGTTAAGCTACACGCCTGTCCATAACAGTTGCAGAGCCACTCAAAGCTTTCAATCGCAAAGATCCGAGGGGCACTGCCACTGCGCCCGTCACCATGAGACATAAGTTGACAAGTCCCATATGCCTGTAATTCATCAGCACCCTTTACCCTTCAAACCGGAACACAGTTACTAATGCTGCCATTACTGCTTGGCGGTAGAAATAGGTAAGGTTAAAGGCAGTACTTCCCTGGACGAGCTCTTTCACTAGCAGCTCTACTGTTATATTTACAAGGTAACATAATATATGTATACATTATAAATTTCTATATCTCGTATACATAGACTATATAAGACGAGATATAAAAATTAATCAAACTACTGCATAGATCGATGCCGATTAAGCATTATGCTTTAGATGTCTAGCAAACCAATCATCAGCAACTGAGTAAAATGTTGTGGTGATATAAAGTTTACAGCAGACTATCATGGGAAACTACTTGTAGCATTTAAATGGCAATTTCGCGCACCGTCCATGAGGCTCGTTGGTCTAGGGGTATGATTCTCGCTTCGGGTGCGAGAGGTCCCGGGTTCAAATCCCGGACGAGCCCTTCCTAACAATTTTGAGTGTTTTCGTTTTTAATTTGTTTTTTTTTCTTTGTCAAAAATTACAATTCGACACCAAACAATTTCGATAATTTTCTTTTAGACAATTTTTTTCAACATATATTTCAAATAGCTCCATCTAGCCACAACTCATTGAACTTTTTAAACCAGCTGATTAGCTGCGCTCTGCCGTCAGCCACTGCGGTAATATGTGCACCGAGGAAAAAGGACGTAACTTAAACATTGTTATTTTCGACCCTACGTCAACATTATGTTTGCACTGCACGCATAAAGATAAAATATACGGATATTTCGTATTGGATAAAAAATACTATTTGATCAGTACAAAACTGATTAAACAGTCTTTTTATCACTTTGATAATAAAGATAAATAATAAGCGCATGACTTTTAAATACTAAAATTAGTTAGAAACCCGTGACAAAGTTACAAATAATCTCTAAATTTTCTCTAAAATCTATATTTAATTATAGAGACTAAAAGTATTCATGAATATATTGTTTCAGTTGCCTACCTTTGCTACCTATTAGACGTACATTATTATAGAACAGTTGACTTGAAACGCCGGAGGGATCTAATCTATTTATAAACTCTACTGTATCTTTATTTTAGTACATGTCCAAGTCTATCACACCTAAACACGTCTTTATGCAAATAAAAAGGACGTGGAAATCAAATTACAGTGTTAAATTGGCGCGTACCATTTGAAATTGATAAATATCACTTACCAGCACCTAAATCTTCTCTTACTGCTAGAGCGCAAAGTAATGAATGTGCTATATCGAAATAAGGGTACATTTTCAGTTTTATGACCTGGTTAGCCAGGTCTAAGAACGCTTCGGGATCCATGGTGTTAGTTTTTTGTTAAAGTTCAAGACGTTTGAGTAATTTATACAACTAAACACCGACAATAAAGTGACGCGCGTAGCCGCGACTTTCCGCGGGCGCTGTTGCCGCGAGACTGGGCTGGATTGGATCACGATTGGATAGAGTTCACTCACTCAGTGATTCTTTCTCTAAATTATTTTGGTCAGAAGTACTTTAGCACGTACACACACTCATAGATACGTAGAAGGGGAGGAACTCGGTAACGTGACAGCCGGTGTCCAGTCATGGCTAATGGATTACCGTTATTAAACTCTTTGATGTCTTTTTTAAATTTTAACCAGGTAATTTTGATAACGCATTCAAGGGTATCGAATTTTCGTCAACACTGAATAAGTTTCCGTAGTGTAGCGGTTATCACGTGTGCTTCACACGCACAAGGTCCCCGGTTCGATCCCGGGCGGAAACATGTGGACTTTTATTTCGCGCTGTAAAATAAAATTATTTCTGTTTTACCCCGCTCCCGTGTGGTTTTTGCATACTACTAACACAGGGGGTTATCCGTTTTTTTCAGTGTCTGATTTTTCTTTCTGTGGTCATCAAAGTATTGTTTGTTTGAGTTTCTTAGTAGCAGTAGAGCTCCTTGTGAAGGAGTTCGTCCAGGGAAGCACTGCCACCTTACCTACTTCTGCCACCAAGCAGTAATGTTAGCATTACTGTGTTCCGATTTTAAAGGGTAAGGGTGCTGGTGAAATGACAGGCACATGGGACTTGTCAACTTATGTCTCAGGGTGACGGGCGCAGAGGTTGTGCTCCACAGATTTTTGCAATTTAAAGCTCTGAGTGGCACTGGAACTGTTAAGGACAGGCGTGTAGGGCACACGACTTGTTCGTCCCGTCACTTAATGTTATAAAAAAAATCTGTATGGAATAATTTCATTCCAATACCTATTGTAGAAGGTGATGTAATTGTGATATCTGTAGCCATGACATAACGTACCTATTTCATGTTATCATAATTTCAGTCCTTACAGGTATTCTTGATAACTAATGAAAAAATGCGGTTTATTCACGCAAATACCTATGATCAATAATTTTTAAGAAGCGGTCTATTTACACAAACCTTTTTAAACAACTCAATAAAAACTGGACAGGGCTAACAATAGGGTTATGTCCTACAAAACAGCTCATGCAAACAAAGATGTAAAGCAGTGTATTTATATACACATACAACCAGGCAATAAATCAGGTATAAACTGGGGTTGGCAGTTTGCTAGAATTGTTTACCCTATGTTTATAATAATTAAGAAACAAAACAATTTCTAATAACAAATTTTGTATTTAATAAAAAATATATTTCATCATTTTTTACGACACTATTTAGTTAAAATTGCATAGAAAAAATATAGAAAATATTTTTAAATACATAATATTAGGAATAGGGATGTTTATTACAATCACTTAATGTTAGGAGAATAACAGGAACAGTAAAATGATTTTGACCATTTTAGTATGAATCATAAGACCACATGGCGGAGCGGCCTGAAATATTACTCGAAAGTTGGTATTAGATAAACAAAGTTCCTCCTCCTGCGCTTTTCATGATTACACAGCTAAATCAATGATAATATTGATTTAGGACACTACAAACTCGGACTATTTATTATTATTATTATTATTGCCCTCAAAAGGTGCAATTATATAGAATATTATTTAGGCTGAAAATTTCACAGGGTAATCTCCTACTCATTAATTTAAACATCTGTTAAACAATATTTTAAGTTTACATACAAAACATCAGCTTCTAATTTACAAGACTTGAAGAAGATAGTTTGCGTTAACTATACTACTAAACACTAACTTTATTATAAGAATATCGCCTTTAGTACAATAACACCACAGCCCCATGTGATTGTATGACAATGAATTTATCACATGAAAGTTATAAAACTTATGTATATCGATGTTTTTCGAGGAGTGGCCCATTCCAAAATTGATCCTTTTTTATTTATTACCGAGATGTATTCAGAAAATTCTAAATTGTGTTGTGAATGCGTTCCAAGCTTTTCATTGGTTAATAACATCATGACAACATTGGGACGGTGCACGATTCGTCAACTTTGGTAAGCCATCTTCCTGATGAATTAGATGCTTTTGTGATTTATTCTAGAAACGTGTTTGAAACCTCTATTTCAGCATTCAAAAGTTATCGACTACCTTCCTACGTAGAATCTCTAAAACTCTCCCTTGAAAAGTGGTAATTTTGCAGATGTGGCCTTATTATACCAATAACGCAATATTCGGGGTTTCTGCACAAAGAAAGCATTGTACATCATTACTGCGTTTTCAAAACGCCGAATGATGCAAAGCGTGTGACCAAACCAATGAAATAAAAACATCTAAAAATTCACCGTAAGGTCAACCAATGAGATTGTTTCACGTATTAAAACACAGTTGCACCATAATAATGTCATATTACAGTTTCTGGGGAAAAAAATATTGCAAACACCATTTCTATAGATCTTATTTCAGTGAATAAGTTATTTTAATTACGTGATAAGTAGCTTGAAATGTGCAGCGGCTCTAATATAATTTTATGACGATTTCAAATGTAATTTGTTTGCACACGAAATGGAGTTTTACGAGGGCGATAAGATTTTTTTTTAATTTTACCAATATGAAATTGGGACCTATAACAGTTTCATTTTAGTTCCGCGCAGTATTGTTGTTCATTGCATCACCATTACTAGTTGCATAATAAATTGCTGCAAAACTCTACTTGCTTTAACATTACTTTCAAAACTTAGCTTTGCATGAATGAAGCAGAATGGGCTCATTACTTACTAAGTGGACCGGTAAGCTGTCTTTTAACGTGCAATAGTATTTCGTTATTCGAAACAAAATGATTCCATTTCCTGTTATTCTTTCTTTCTTTGGTAGACTAAAAGAGTGATTGGCAGATGAAATAAACAAAGTAGCTAGCAAAGCCTGGATGAGTAGGGAGAAAGACAGAAAACTGTGGAGTGAATTGGAGGAGTTCCTTTACTCGAAGAGAGGTCCCGAATAATGTGTTATAAATGATTATTATTAATCGAAAAATTCAATTAATTTTTCATTATTATTATTTTATGGTGAATTATTCAATTAGCGATTTTTTTTGTATAATATGAATTAGTATTAAGGGAATAAATGAGGCTTTATTATTAGTATTTCGTTATTTTAACATCTTGGTCTAAAATAACGACTATTGGTTGCTGGAGCATTTTGGTCAATATTTTGAAATGAGTACTGCACGACATTATTTTCAACCACAAACCAGTCATTGGCAATTTGGTGTCAATAGCGCGTATAGTCCATAGCAACAAAAGCTACCATAGATTGAGCTTCCCTAGCCAGAACTTGAGTCGATACTAAGTCAGGGGGCTCCATTGGATGAAAGCGATCCAAGGCCGTAAATTTTAGCATTCTCTTGGGGATGCTGTGTAAATGAATAAAAGTAGAGATTCAAATAAAAAAATAATGTATTTGGTCAGTTTACAAAAAATGGGTGACTTAGTAGGTCATCCATGATTAAATTATAAAAAATGTAAATAAATAATAATAATTCAAAAAATCTATAATAATTATTCAATATTAAACAGTCTTAGCTAACGATTCAATCAAATTATAATAGAGATAACATAAATGAAATTTCGTAGCTTTTAGTCATGGAGTGTTTTTTATTATATAAAATTTTAATTCACTTTGGTTTAGTTTACAGTCAGAAAAAATATTTAAATAAGAGCACATTAGAGATTTTTCAATTGTTATAAAAATAAAGAAATTAAGATCTGATATCTAATCTTTTTACGGCAGACTTCCAGACTTTTAACTTAGGTTCAAGAAAAACATGTTTTATGTAGAATCTTCTTAATAATAACTTTAGGAACGACACATGTAGTCTATATTTTCCTGCTAAAGACGGTATGAAATTATTTATTCTATTGTAATTTTAAAAATAGCTTCGTATTGCACATTCACAAGTATATTCGATATGAACAGGAATTAATTCAAAAGCAAATTGGCGGAAATGTAAAATCGACTTCAGTGGACCATTTTATGAACAGATTGTTTGATTATATAGATTTTTAAAATCGGGATAAAACATATTTTTAACCGACCACAAAAAAGGAGGAGGTGTGGTGTATGTTATGCGATTTTCAGAATTCTTTTTTTGTTGGAAAGAAGATTACCTCAGTATTGATCACATTTAAATTTGAAGAAAATATTACAGCTTTAAACTAGAGGATGAATCCGGTTTCGCGCACTTTCCGGTAACCATAAGTTGGCAAATAGATGTAATACCACGAACTTTTGAGGCAGGTTTTTTTATAAAAAAGGTTATATTCACCTTGACGTTTCGGACGTTTTGCAACGTACATGGCATCGAAAGGACTGAAGAAGCAGATATCAACATTAAGTATCATGATAAAAAAAGTTTTATACACGATAACTCCCGATTTTAAAATCAAACGAGGTGTGGGAATGTGGGTTTTATTCTATTATCTTCCAAAGCGATGGTCTGAACTCTCGGTACACCCTTTCAGCGCTATAAACTTTACATTTCCATCAACTTGTAATTGACTGACTTAACTTAAACTCAACTAGACGTATCCAGTTGTTGTGCACTTTTTGTTGACGTTAATTATAATTATGCACTCTTATCTACTAAATTATAACAATTATTATTAATATTGACTTATCGATGTAATAATTTCATAATAAACGTAACAGTCGTTCATTGTATTTGTAAATATAGCTAAAGTATATCTTTTTATATATTGTAACAATCACCACTTCTGAAAATCGCTGGGAAATTAATGTGTAGGTAGCAGACGGCAGTTCTGGTTAAAGAATTTGAAGGAATGATCCGGTCGGAGTACCACATCACTATTTGAAGCGACTTTCTCTAAAGTCTGGATTACATTGTTTTATCCAACCTTTCATAGGAGAGTAATCCCAAGAAAAAGACCTGAAATCCCGCCTATACATGATGCAAGTAGCAGTAGAGCTCCTTGTGAAAGAGCTCGTCCTTGGAAGTACTACCACGTTACCTGTTTGTGCCGAATAATGTGAGCATTACAGCGTTCCGGTTTTGAAGGGTGTTGGTGAAATTACAGGCACATGGGTCTTGTTAACTTACTGTTGTTCAAGGTGTAGGCGCAGTGGCAATGAAGGAGCATTGCCACTGTCTTTGCGATTTAAAGCTCTGTGAGGCATTCGACTTGTTCGTATCGTCACTTGGTATTACGCATAAAGCTAGTTAAGTCGGACATTAGATTACTAGAAAAAAATTAGTAAAATACCCACCAAAGAAGACACGGTTAGGAGAGATTTAAGCAATAATCTTGTTTATGTATTTATGGTAAGGGTAACAGCTACACAGTGAGTCATAGTGTAGAATAGTGTTATTGTAGATGAATAAAATATGTATTCATACATTCAATGATTCCTAGCACATAATAAATAGTATCGTATGTGAGCACTAGAGGGCATTGGATAATATAGAATATTGGTGACAAATAGATGGCGCTATTCACAATTGCATAATGTTAAATTGCAATATCAGTTTAATTCGAAGGAAAGATTTACAAAAAAAAATGTTTTATTGTAGATCGTTAAAATAATTATTCACACCATTGACTTACAAATAAATGGGTCGACTGGTCTAATACAAAAACCACGAAAAAAAGTCCCAAGTCAACCTATTTAAACGTAGTGACATGTAAAGGAATATGAAAAAGCTAAAACGTTGAATTTAAATTGTAATGTCATCGCAGTACTGTCTAATGTTGCTTGCTTCGCTGTCAGTCGAACAAACGAAGACTAAAGCGTGAATGACGCTCTGTATACGATTTTAACGCCCTATAAGTTCGGACACTTTTTAGCGCGGACCCGATGTCCATATAATTGTAAGTCAATGATTCACACTTATAATTTTAAGTATTTGAATATGAAGAGTATTCATTATTACTTAATTTTGTCATCAGCCAATCTGCGGCCGTGTTCGCCACATCCTACCCTGCTATTAAAAAGTAGGGTTGAGTGGAGGGACGGGGTGGCGGAATCGACCGATGCTTAGTCGAGTGGTGTGCAAGAGTCCGAAAGGCTAGCTTACATAAATGATTGTACTACGTTGTTGAGGAACGGGTGATCGATTACGGAAAATATAGTAATATATCTTATCAACTTGGTATTATTATATATATGTAGTGTAGTTTATATAGATCATTCAGGTTTTCGTTATCAAATGCGGTAACACCCCCTAAACAGCATCAACGCCCCCCAATTGCTTCCGAGGACTCTTCAGCGCCCACTGGGTAGGGACCACTGTGGCAACCTATGTGAGTATTGATAAGTAATAATATTGAGTCTTTTTTTACGCTGAACTTTGATTTTTGCTTAACGTTTTTATTATATTTTGCACGTCAAACAAACTGATTATCTAAAAATCTTTAAACAGTAAATTGGAAGTAATTTCGTAAATTACTCCATTTTCACCCAGCTCTCTATGGAGAGATTTTTTTTATTGTAATAACTGTTAAAATGGACAGAGCCTTATATTTACCGCAATAAAGTCTGGGCAGGATTTGATTAAATTTAATCAAAAGGAGACTTAAGTGATTGTCGAAAGGAACAAAAGAGAATAAGCCCCAAAGATGTAGGTGATATGATGAGAAAGATGATACCTCTGGCGACAGGCGACTAGAAGAGCCGATTTCATATCAGGAAAAACCCGGAAGATTTTATAATCAAACCAGTATGTGTAGAATTTAGTGTTAGGAAGTTAGTCGTTCTTCTTTTGGAATATCTCTCAAGGTGAGATAACTCACTGCAGCACTCTGTCCTATGACATCGTCTTAGAGTGAATACCTTGAATGTCATTTATGCATAATTTTCCAGGAGGAAGATAAAAATGTAGTGTAAAATATAGTTAAATTATATGCAATTAGCATTTTAATCATCTCTATCAGATAGGAAATGAAACTATTTTTCCGGATTTAAATCGTATATATTTGTTTTTTCAAACAAACCTTTTTTGTTTTTCAAATACACGACGATTTAAATCCGGAAAAATAGTTTCATTTCCTGTGTGTAACAATCGCGAAAACCTAAGAACTCGATACATCTCTATCAGTGTAATAATATAATTAAGGAAGGGGTTTTTAAGTTTTGTTTTAAACAAAACTGAGTGAAAACAAACTGTAACAATGCTAGCAAGGTTTTCTTCACTCTAAGGCATAGCTTCCCAAAGTGGTCCCTACTCGGAGGTCGGTATTCTCGGGATCTATTGGTGGGCGTTGATGCAGTCCAGGGGGTGCTACAGCATTTGAAAAAAAAAACCTGAATTGTCTATATAAACTACACTACAAATATAAGAACTTTTTTCTTGTCATTTTTTGTGTCAAGTTAATATAAAAAATCCGTGTTTGAAATTAATTTTTGTGGTAGTCGGCGTTGAATCTTTTTATCTTGCTTAAGTGGGCGGTGTGCCAAAAAGTTTGGGAACCTATGCTCTAAGGCGACGATGAGCAATTAGAAAAACGATTTCAAAGCGCATAATTCAAAATCTAAAAATAAAAAATTGTTTATTTATTACAATTGATCAGTGTTCAGTTTAATTGCTGAAGTCTCCTTTTAAGCATAAGGATGCCTGTGCCAGGAGACACCGCAAATAAATAATAATTGATGTGACAGATGCTTGAATGCGAGTACTTGATGGATGTGGTGTTAGTTGAGTGCAAATGAGTTGCAAATTTAGTGCAATTATTTTGAAAGCTTTAATGTCGGAGCAAAAAATGTTTACAAAATAAATTAATCGCCTCAGAACACCGTCAAATAAGGTTTTATTATTAATTAGAGTAGATAGTCGAATAGGCAATTTCCCCTAAACCTAATCGCAAGTTACAAACGGTAATGCAGTATTTGTAATTCACCGACACTTACTCAGCGTTAAGTACATCATTAGATGGGCTATTTTCTTAACAATTACTTTTTTATGATACCAAGTGCCTAGACGAGGGCCTGGTGGTAAGCGACACGCCTACCCATAACAGTCGCCGTGCGTCTCAGAGTCTTATATAGCACCCTGAAACATAAGTTGACAAGTCCCATATCGACCCCTCCCACGTAAAGTATCGTATGTCAAAATTGCCAAGTTTACAGGGGAGCCTTTTAAAGTTCTGAATTCACTGAAATAAGCATAACACGTGACTTTACATTTCTCACTTTTATTCGGCAAATCTCGTTACACACGTTGAGTATCATAAAATCCTAGATATCGGTTAGATGATCTATTAGATGATCACTCTAGGTGAGTAACAAGCTTTGCCGAATGAAACGGAGAACTTTAAAACACTCCCCTGTAAACTTGGCAATTTCGACATACGATACTTTACGTAGGAGGATATCGTCGCCTTACTTTCTCAAACTCTCTCGTTATCTTAAAGCACAAGTTACTGAAATGCGAAAATGGATTGTATATACTAATATTACAGGCTGTTTCACATCACATTCCTTCATATTCACATCTATTCTTAAAGTAACGCAGCCAAATTAACACCCTTGATAAGAAATTTAAAATAAATAGAATGTTTTGCCGTCTCCTGAGTAATAACTCTTTATAAGAGACGAGTTTGAGAAAATAAGGCAAGGAAGTTTGGCATAGCGATTATGCCAAACTTCCTAAGCACCCTTACCCTTCAAAACCGGCATGCAATAACACTTATATTACTTGGCTATTATTATTACTATTACTTGGTTATTATACAACTTATGCGTACTTGGATGACAAAAATACGTGGTATTAACCCGTTTAGCTCATGGAGGTAGTCTCGATCTCTGATGTTTCAAATAAAAAAAATTATTGTAAATGTTATTTACAAAGAGCAACCCCTAGAGTTTCTTGCTCATTCTTCTCAGGGGAATCTGCCTTACGAATGAGCGGTAGAGTTCAACCATTGTGACGATTTCAAGTGTAATAATGCTTACCTATGAAATAAAGATTATTTTGAATTTGAATTTGAATTTGGCAGAAATAGGTAAGGTGGCAGTACCTGGGGGCCTACTATGAGCTTATAAGCAGCCAGTCAAGTTCCATGCAAATTCACTTGACGTGGTAAAACTGAATTGCTTAAATTCGTATCATGACCTACACAAAGTTGAACGGGTACGGCTGAAAGAACCGATTAAACGATTGTGTTCAAAATGAGAATAATTATATTTTTTTATTATTGATTATACTTACTACGTTGTTTTGTAATATCGGCAACTTTTCAATCATACTTTACAATTTGTCGTACGACAAAATTACATGTCATGTCTAGTTATTATCATTGAAATTAATTGGAATGTATCTTGTATTCGTACATTTTCATTGATTGCATTAAAGTCAAATTTGGCACTATTTAAAAGTTATTTTACGATTTTCGGTAAATAAAATTATTAAAATGATTAAAATTCCATTTAAAAAAATGCAATAACATTCATGCCAATAATTTATCAACAATACTTTAAGGATTGGGAACTCGAACTAAAATTTTCAAAAAATGTTCAATAGATTATTAGTATTTAATTATTAATACAAAGATCGAACACTCAGAAAAAATTCCTTCGATCCAGCCGGATTCGAACCGACGTCCTCTAGCTTACCGTGCCAGACGCTATACAAACTAAGCAACGGATCGAACCAGCGGACCTCACGAATTTTTCTATGTGCTTAGGTCGTGTCTTTGTATTTGGTTTTTCAACGACTTTTTAGTCGTAGCGCCATCTATGACAAATCTATGAAAGATTTATCACCCAGTTAGTACCTTTACAGCTATCAGTCCTGGCGAGAGATGTCGCTATTCGCTGTATTTTAAATTTTTATTGATTTGATACTCAATTTTTTTTTGTGAAATTACTCCACTAGCTTGTTATAATTATTAATACAAAGATCGAACACTCAG